GGGGGGGGGGGGGGGTTTCGTGGGAGCGGCAAAATATTGACGATTATAATTCAACAAGGGGCGGCAATTAAGTAAATCCGGCCAAGATCCGAAATTCGAATAGTTGCGCGCTTGATTTCCGGATTTAAGGTAATTCGATGGACGCCATATTTTGTGTCAGAACGGCATGCGATATAACGCATCGATTGGTTCCATTTTTCAGCTACTCGTCATTTTCCTCCAATTTTGAGATCGCAATGGACCACTAGACAAGGTACGAATTTAGGCAATCTGATACATGTTTCTTTATCAAAATTTCACTTAGAACACGATTCGTGCAACAAAAATTACTGGAACCAACTCCTAACGAAGATATTAACGTTTTTATTTCACATTGGTTACGAGGGATTTGCACTGCCCGCTCACAAGAAACTCAAAGCTCTACTTGAGTCAAATCGCGCACTGGAACGGTTTCAGCAAGCTTCGCTCAATCGAGCAATGTTCATTTCCCATCATGTGTTCAAACCACAAGAAATTTACTATAGCTGAGCCAAACCGTCAAGATTGAGGTTTTCAGATTTTTATATCGCAGAGACTATCATGATAAACGTTTAGCGCGCGATGTGAATCACGTAGAGCATTGAGTTTTCATGAGCGGGTGGTTTGAATTAACTCATCAAGAATCATTAAATATCTTCGTAAGGAGTTAATTTCGGTAATTTTTGCCGGGCGCATCGCATTTTACGTGAAATTTTGGTTAAGAAACATGTATCAGAATGCTGAAATTCGTACCTTGTCTAGTGGTCCATTCTGTTGTCAGGAGACTAAAGCACTCACTTACCAATTTTAACAAAGAAATACAACGTAATAAATGCGCGGTTTTTTCAGAGAGAAAACATTGCATTCGATACTGATATCGAAACTGCACTCGAATGCGATATTTTCTCTCTAAAAAAACCACGCCTTCATTACGTCGAATTTCTTTGTTAAAATTGGTAAGTGAGTGCTTTAAAGTCTCCTGACAACAGAATTGCGATCTCAAAATTGGAGAAAAATGACGAGTAGCTGAAAAAATGGAACCAATTGATGCGATAAATCGCATGCCGTTCTGACACAAAATATAGCGTCCATCGAATCACCTTAACGACAATGCCTACATTCATGAACGTCAGTACTTTGAGACAGGTGAAAAAGCTAACATTTTCCTTCATTTTTGCGTGATACCACATCACATGTCTACTCTTGAGTTCGGATACTTGCGCGCTTGATTTCCGCAATTAACGATGCGAGCATTTTGCATGCGAAGATTTCCCTTCATTTTCGCGTGACACCACATCGCAAACCTACGCTGGAGTCAGTGGAAATGTAACTTGCTATATTAAGAGGAAACAATTTATCATGTTTTTTTAGTGTATTTTCAGAAGAAAATACACTATTGCATTCTCCCCCGATGTCGGACCCAGACCTGAGAACTTGTTTGTCCTTTAATTTTTAACGAGAGAGTATGCTGGAAGGAGAGGAAAAACGACAGAGGGGTCATAAGTTCAGTGGTCATTGAACTGTCAGTTCTGACGTTACGTATGGACTACCTTTCTTGAGTTTATCTTAAAGTGAAGCTTTTTTGGGATAAATAAGGGGAAAAACGATGATTTTCCCAAAAATTTGGGAGATACTCAGATACCTGAGGGCGTTTCTGGAACAAACTAAATGGATATAATTGTCCTTTGATCTCTAAAACACGCGTGCTCTTGCAATCTGGCTCTTTAACACCCTTAGCTGGAACGCCATAGATCAGTCTCAACCCCATTTTTTCTTATATTTTACAAGAGATCAAAATTGAATTGGTTTCTGGCAAGGAGCGGGGCGGAAGTCAAAAATTTTCAAATTCCTTTTTTCTGCATTAATGATCCTCTGAAAGGTACTTAGACAGTTTCTAAGATCCTTTTTTTTATACAATGGAAAAAAAAGCAATGCTTAAGGAAAATTTTAAGACGTTCTGCTCCATAAGAAAATCAGTTTTTTCTTCTCCAAGGAAATTTAACATTGTGGACTTACACTCTTTTACTATAAATCGCTTCTAATCCTCGTCTCGCGGACGAAGGATCGTAACTCCATACTAAGAGTGCCAAATTGACTCAAACAAAGGATTTTTTTAGCAAAAATGTACCAGTGCAATTTTTATCCAAAATATCTCTGATTTTTGCATGAGGCCGGCAGAAAAATTAGTGAAATTTTCAGTTAGAGATGCCCAAGATTCTCCTGAACAGTGTTCGAAACTCACAGGCGCCAACGCGCCAGATGCGCCTAAGAAATCGGTCATGGCGCCTAAAAAATGAAGGCTCTGCGCCAACGTGGCCCCTATAAATTGTCCCTCCTCCCTCCTCCCGGAAAAAAACCCTAATTTTTCTGTTTGGTGATTTTCCGAAATTTCTCACAAGTCATAGCTATTTGTTCTACAACTAAAACATCTTGCGTCTAACTTTTCATTCAGGCAAAAAGTCAATTTGACCCCTAAAATGTCTTCAATGGCCCCTAAAAATCGAGCTTGATGAGCCACACAGCTCCTGAAACTCGAAGATGAGTTTCGGACACTGCTCCTGAATAATATGCAATTTGCGAGGGGAGATTTGGCAACAATGAAATGGAGTTACGTTCTTTCGTGAGGGCAAGCGACGTACCCTGGTAAAAATTGGCAGTAGAATCTGTGTTCCAAAATACCATGAGACCTACAGCCGGCTGTGCGATTTCCAATAGCTTCTATAGCCGGCTACACAATTTCTTATAGCCTTTTATAGCCGATGGCGACTAAGCAACAGCCAGGCGATAAAGTGTATGCTAAACGTTACTAATTACGGATGCTAGGACTTAGTGAGTTTTTGGAATCCTGCTCTCTTTTTGGGCCGTAGTATCTTGATTTATTTTGCGAGGAAAGCTCCGTACTTTTGATGGGTGCCTGCCGTTACTAATATATTAGAGCGCCTTCAGTTTCGTATGATACTGTGCAATACCTCTAGTGTGAAATAGTTGCTTCAAGCGCCGTGGCAGGCGGGCAGCCAGCGCGAAACACGCATTGGCGCCTACAAACCTAATAGGGATACTTCACGCGCTGCGCAATGCGTGAAGTATCCCTGTTAGGTTTGTAGGCGCCAGTGCGTCGCTGCTCCGCTTTGTGTTAGGCTCTAGTTTTTCATCTGGCGGAGTCAGCGTTATTCAACTCATGATTTTGAAATGTTTGCACATCCTGTATGGATTATTCTCATTTTAATTGATGAAAAAAAAATATGTATTAAAGGAAAATATAATGTGTGTTTTGTAAATATTAAGGTGGTTCCGTATCAAACTTACCTAATGATTTCCAAAGCACACGAATTTCTACACAATTTCTTATAGCCTTTTATAATCGATGGCGAAAAAGCAACAGCCAGGCGATAAAGTGTGAAGCCCGGCGATAGGAACTATAGCCCGACGATAGGAACTATAGCCCGGCGATAGGAACTATAGCCCGGCTGCATAATTTTTTATCGCTTCGTATAGCCCGGCCGTATGATTTTCTCCGCATTCTACAGCCAGCTATATGATTTTCTGTAGCCTTTTTTAGCCGGCTTTAAGAATTCCTATGGT